ACCTGCCCATTGCCACCTGGGAGCAGGCCTAAGCCAGCAGGTCGTTATCTCCTGAGGGGTCCCAGACTGCGAGAGGGCTCAGGCCGGGCTGAGGGACCCCCACTTCCCCCCCAAGTGCACAAATTTTTGTGCACCGGGCCTCTAGTCATATATAAAAGCATATATACCTAAATAACTTATATTTATGGTTTTATGATCAAATAATACCAATAAGCTTTTAAAAAGCTTTATTGTTGATGCCCTTCCATTTTCCCCCCATTACCCTCCCTCCTGCCGGTTCCTACCCTGCTCTAAGCCTTCAACACCTTATTGTCTGCCTCCATGGGTAATGCATATAAGTTCTCCAGTTAATCTCTCCCCCTTCCTGCCTTTCCCTTTAAGATTCGTCAGTCTGTTGCATGTTTCCTTGCCTTTGGTTCTATTTTACTCATCAGTTTATTTTGTTCATTAGATGCCTTGTTCATTTATTTTAATTTTTAGATTAGTTGTTGATAGATATGCATTTATTGCCATTTTGTTCATATTTTTTTATTTTTTATTTATACTTTTTAAAGGATACCCATACATTTCATGTAATACTGGTTTGGTGGTGATGAACTCCTTTAGCATTTTCTTGTCTATGAAGCTCTTTATCTGTCCTTCAATTCTAAATGATAGCTTTAGAATCTAAAGCTCATCTAAATGATAGGTAGAGTGATCTTGGTTGCAAGTCCTTTTCATCCCTGAATATTTCTTGCCACTCTCTTCTGGCCTACAAAGTTTCTGTTGAGAAATCAGCTGACAGTCTTATGGGAGCTCCCTTGTAGATAACTAACTGCTTTCCTCTTGTTGGTTTTAAGATTCTGTTTCTCTTTAACCTTTGGCATTTTAATTATGATGTGTCTTGGTGTGAGACTCTGGATTCATCTTGTTGGGGACTCTCTGTATTTCCTGGACTTGTATATCTATTTCCTTCACAAGTTAGGGAAGTTTTCTATCATTATTTTAAAAGTTAAAAAAAAAGTTTTTATTGATTTCAGAGAGGGAGGGAGAGGGAGAGATAGAAACATCAATGTTGAGAGAGAATCACCAATTGGCCTCCCCCTGTAAACCCCCCCCCCCACACACACACACACACTGGAGATTGAACCCGCAACCTTGCCTTAACAGGGAATTGAACCGTGACCTCCTGGTACAGAAGTCCAGTGCTCAAGCACTGAGCTACACTGGCTGGGCTCTGTCATTTTTTCAAATAGGTTTTCAACTTCTTGATCTCTCTCTTCTCCTTCTGGCACCCCAATGATGCAATTGTTGATATGCTTCAAGCTGTCCCAGAGGCTCCTTGCACTTTCCTCATTTTTTTAGATTCATTTTTCTTTTTGCTTTTCTCATTGGGTGTTTTTTGCTTCCTTATATTCCAACTTGCTGATTTGATTCTCAGGTTCATCTCCTCTACTGTTGATTCTCTATACAATATTCTTCACTGAAGTTAGTGTATCATTCATTTCTGACCGGTTCTTTTTTATGCTTTTGTAGTTTGCACTAAGTTCATTGAGCATACTTATAATCAGTGTTTTGAACTCTGCATTTAGTAGATTGCTTGTCTCCATTTTCTTTAGTTCCTTTTCTGGAGTTTTGTCCTGTTCTTTCATTTGGGACGTGTTTTTTTTTGAGTCCTCATTTTAGTACCCTCCCTGTGTTTGTTTCTGTGTTTTAGGTAGAGTTGTTCCATTTCCTAGGCTTGGTTGAGTTGCCTTATATAGTAGGTGTTTTGTAGAGTCCAGGGGCATAGCCTTCTTGATCACGAAGCTGAGCACTCAAGGTGTGTGTGCTTCCTCCCCGCCCCCCACCTCCCCACCCCCCAACACACACACACTTGGATGGGCTGTGTACATCATCTGTTGTAGTTCAGTTTGATTGCTTTGGCATGTCAATAGGAAGGGATTTATTCCCAGGCCAGTCAGCTGGAAGGAATGGTTGTGACCAACGAGGATCAGATGTGCAGGGGCCCACCCCACAGAGTAGGACTTACTTCAGCAGGTCTCTGATACCTGCTAAGTCTGCCCCTTGTCTGTTGTTTGTGGGGGTGGTGATGCTACAGGGTGATCTGATACAGTCTACCAGGTGTGCTGGCTCTGTGGCTTTCCAGGAGGTGCAGGCCAAGATCACCACTGCCAGTATTCTGCCCAAGGCAACTGGCATGAACTACAGATCAGTGTTTAGATGACAGCTACTTGTGTTGGGTTTGGAGATGCCAAGAAGAGGCCAAACTGTGAACCAAGGTAGCATGCTGCTAGTGCTGGGCCTAGGACCACTTAGCAAGAGGTATGGGATATACTGAGGCCAGCTGTTGGAGAGATTTTAGGAATGTCTGAAGCCTGAGTTAGGACATGCTATTCATATAGAAAAGCCACTGCAAACAGCTTTGGTGGGGTCCCAGGGAATCACCAGGGCTGGGCAAACAGTGTGGGCCAGGTTGATGGAGATTCAGATATGGCATCTGCCAGTGGCCCTGTGGCTGGGAGGTCTCAGTAAAGGAACAATGACCTCTGCCAGCACTTTTCTCTTGGAGCCCCCAGTTCTTGCCATAAAGCCATACACTTTATTTCCTCTTTATGTCCCTGGATCCTTTCAAGCTGCTGCCCGAGTACTGGAGATCAGCGGGAGCGTATCTGAGTAAGTCCATGCACGGGGCCTTTAAGTGGAACTGCCTGGGACTCTAGTAGCCTCTGTGTCACTCAGCAATAATCCTCATTGGTTTTTGTTTTTAAAAAATATATATTTCTTTATTGATTTCAGAGAGAAAGGGAGGAGAGAGAGATAGAAACATCAATGATGAGAGAGAATCATTGATCGGCTGCCTTCTGCTTGTCCCCCACTGGGAATCCAGCCCGCAACCCAGGCATGTATGTGCCCTTGGCCGGAATCGAACCCGGGACCCTTCTGTCTGTAGGCTGACGCTTTATCCACTGAACCAAGCCGGCTAGGGCTCCTCATTGGTTTTTACAGCCTGAAGTTATAGGGACTTCTCTTCCCAGCACTAGAACCCTAGACTGAGGGGTCTACTGTGGGGCTGGGACACCTTGCTCCTCACAGGGGAATTCTGCAGCCAAGATATCCCTCCCTGTTAAAAATCAGCATACTTTCAACTGGTGTGGCTTAGTGGTTGATTATCGATTTACGAACCTGGAGGTCATGGTTCATTCAGTTCCCTATCTGGGACATGCCTGGGTTTTGGACTCTGTCCTCAGTAGGGGGCATGAAGGAAGTTGATCAATAATTCTCTCTCATCATTGATTTTTTTTTCTAATTTAAATTCTTTATTATTGAAAGTATTACATATGTATCCTTTCCCCCCCATTAACCTCTCCCTGGCTGCTCCCACCCTCCAGCACATGCCCTTGCCCCCCTACTGTCGGTGTCCATTGGTTATGCTTATATGCATGCATACAAGTCCTTTGGTTGATCTCTAATCCTCCTCCCCCCCATGATGTTGCAAATGGTAGGAGTTCTTTAGTTTTTACAGCAGCGTAGTATTCCATTGTGTAGATGTACCACAGTTTTTTAATCCACTCATCTGCTGGTGGGCACTTAAGCTGTTTCCAAACCTTAGCTATTGTAAATTGTGCTGCTATGAGCATAGGGATGCATATATCCTTTCTGATGGGTGTTTCTGGTTTCTTGGGAGATAGTCCTAGAAGTGGGATTACTGGGTCAAATGGGAGTTCCATTTTTAATTTTTTGAGGACACTCCATACTGTTTCCTCATCATTGATGTTTTTGTTTTTTTTATCATTGATGTTTTTAATCTCTCCCTTCCTCTCTCAAATAAATAAAAAATATATTTAAAAACAAGCAAACAAACAAAATGCCACACATTCTGCATCTCCAACCCTCCTATCAATTTCAGTGTGG